ACAATCTAAATGCTTGGAAGATTTATTCTTATTTTATCATTGTTTTATCATAGCATCCCTTCCAGCCTGTGGTTGTATTACGGTTTTGTGTGCTTGTCATAAAATCAGGCCGTCAAGTCGTCTATAAAACTGTTTTATGACTACTAAATTAAAACTCAGACTTCATAGTTTTAACGGTAGCTGTAAGGTGGTTCTGCATCACTACTTATAACTGAAGAATAAAACCAAAACAAAACATACAATTATGTTTTATGGTACACTTTTTATGACCGATATAAAACTTGAAGCAGTCTTAGAGCTTCATTAAAGCTTCATTACAACTATCATCTTTATCAGAGGCCTAAGATTCACAGATAAGAAATATACTGCTACAACAAAAAATACTATGAAATTTTTTGTCATTATAAAAAACAAATCTATTCAGATATATGAAATGAAAACCCCTTCAGTGCTTCTGAACGCGATGAAGATAAGAAGATCGACAATATGAAACTCCTGGAGGAACTACACTTATACGATCTCTACATAAGGCACAGTGCGGTGAAGGAGCTCTTAAAAATATTGAACAGGCGGCTTTCCGATACACTTCCGAAAGATCCACGAACCCTTCTTAAAGCAACGCCGACAGTTTCACTAAATCCGTTTGGAGATGGCCAGTATGGACATCACGGCTTTAAACCTTGTATTGAAAAAGCTTTTAGTGGATCCAATAAGCATTTCTTACATCTTGATTACAAGCGAAAATAGGAGGATCGCTTGGAATGTTGACTTTTTGACAGGTGGTCATGGTTTTTGTTTTGTTTTGATTCGCTGTACCGAATAAAACCAGCAAGCTAGTTATATAGCTTAAATATAACTTAACGCTCTCAATTTGGACTACGAAATGCTAAGATACAACCATTAGGTTTATGTTATGCTATAGAATTCCAATCTAGGAGAATATGTTATATTGAGGTATTTTTAAGGAGTAGCAAGTTATAACGAAAAAAAAAATGTCGCCGTATGAACAAATTTCACTCAGTATGAATAATTACGCTTTAATTGATAGGCAATAAAACACTTTCATACATCTATGTATAATTAAATAATATGTGACTGGTTATAGCTCAACAGTAGTAACAGTTTTGTACTAAATAGATAATCTTTGAATGACTCTTTAATGCATGGTGCTAATGCAGACAAATTAAAAATATCCCTATATTTTAGTATTCATATGGCGCACTAAATTTATGCTCCTATTTGGTATAATAATCACCATAAATATTGCACGGCATGCTGTGAAGCATATACAGATTGGTTTAAAATTATAATAAAGTTGTCTTATTTTCAATGTACAATAAGATCAGCCATTATTACCAACTGACAAGGATCATGATTTCACATCAAACATCGAAAGAATAAAACCACAATAAAATATTTCTCAATATTAACTATCATCCAAAAACCCCAACTTAAAACCTTCAAAGTTGTCAAAATGTTTTGCGTATCATGTTTTATCAACTTCTTCAGGAGCGATTTATGCGGTTGTAATATAGTTTTATGGTAGTCATTAGAAGGCTGTTAAAACTTTCTGACCTGGAGGAGGTTTTATGTTTTCATTTTTAACAATCACGTCTAGAGTGTGATAAAACTGACATAAATCCTATGCTCCTAAAGTAGTTCGCATATCAAGTTTTAATGACTGCATTAAAACTGGGCCAATTGGCCATGACATGGCTGTATTGCGGTTCTCAGGAGATTGTTAAAGCAATGTGGTCGTCAGTGAAGGTTTTATAATTTGGTTATATCGACTGCTATAAAACTTAAATAAAACAAAAATTGTTGCTTGGGTAAAGCGAGATGGTTCACCAGGAAGATCCTGAACATCCATAAAAAAAAATCAGTTCTTGAAACTGAGCTTAGAGGTCCGCTTTTTTCGAAAGCACTCATTGGCGTCTTATCAGAATTAATTTGGAGCTATGATCAGAAAATTGACCCTGGGGACCAATGCTCAATGGTCCCAAAGCCGTATTTATGAAGACAAAAATATTAGCACCAAAAACATCCTTTTAGGGTATATGGTGCCTTTGGGAAAGTTTCCTCGTATTTTTTATCAGATTTTAAATTAGGGTGGTCCTTAAAATTGGTGAATTGAAAATTCAACCTTTTTTATTACTTGAGATAGACTAATGCAGTGTTTTAAAAAGTTGTAGAACAATCAATTTGAACTAACTTTGCTCATGCCATCAAATTTGTATCTCTTATGGTTCATGACTTAAGGCTATTTTAAGCGAATAGGTTAGAGTGGCCCCTAAAAAATCTTTTTTTAAATATTTTTATTGGTGAACAACGTATAAACAAAATTTAAAGAAAGTCGATTTTCTAGAGACCACCCTAATCAATGGTAAAAACATTGTTCTAAATACTTTATGAACTTTTTATTACGCATATTTTTGCACAAGTCACTAATTTGATATCTCTTTTATTTAAAAGTTATGGCAAGTTTTTGATAAAAAAAAAAAGATTTTTAAAATTAAATTAATTATTTCAAACAAAAAACGCTCTCACAGTTTTTTTTTTCCACCAATAATAAAAAAACACGCTCTTTAAAATGAAATCAAAAGTTTGAAAATCAGTTTGCTCCATTTAGAACCATATTTTCGAAGAAAATCTCCATTAATTTTCTAATAATAAAAAAATAACAGCCTGGTTGCTTCAGCAAAAACATGCATCATCATAAGTTCTAAATGTAACCAAAACAAGGTCTGTTTTTTAGGGGCCATCCTAACCTGCTTGTTTAAAAAATCATAACTAATGAACCATAAGAGATAGAAATTTGGTGTCTTGAGCAAAATTGCTTCGAATTGATTGTTCTACAACTTTCAGATAAAAAGATCGACCAAACAATATGAAGAAACTTTCCTGAAGACACTATATACCTAAAACTGACGGTTTGGGCGCAAACATTTTTGTCTTCCCAAATACGGCTTAGGGACCATTGTGCAGTGGATGGTCCTCCGAAAGATCCGAAACATCCATAAAAAGGCTCAATTCATGAAACTGATCAAAGAACTCCGTTTTTTTTTCGTAAACTCCCATAGACGTCTTATAATTATGAATTCGGAGTTATGATCGGAAAATAGACCCTGGAGATCATGAACGCTCCTCTGGAAAATAATAGACAACTCATCAGAATGAACTCAAAGTTGTGACTGGAAAATGGACCACAGGATCCATTGGATGGTCCTCCGGAATATTCGGAACATCCGTTAAAGTGGATAGGTCAATAAAACTGATCTAAGCACTCTGTGGCTTTTTAGAACTGCTCATAGACACACTTTTTTTTTTTATTTATTATCATGGATGATTTCTAGGTGGTATTTAAGTATCTAATAACTTCTAGACACTTTTAACGGAATATTTGAATACTGTTCCTTGGATTTTATGAACTTATTTCCCTTGACTTCTTGGAGATGTTTCTTTGGAGTTACAAGTACACGAGGAACTAGCTTCAATGTTTATATTTTTAATTCATCACATCAAAATTTTATCAATAAGCCATTTGAAAACATCGTCTTATTGAGTTATTATTAAAATTAATTTATGAGTGGTTTTGACAAAAAAAACAACCTTGTAGCTCTTGGATCAGTTTCATGAATTAATCACTTTCAATGATCTTCGGATCTTTTAATGGACCATCCCATGGTCCCCAGTATAAACTGTCTGGTCAAAACTTCGATTTTATTGTGGTAAGATGTCTATGAGTGCTTTCTAAAAAATCATGGAGCTCAAGGATCAATTTCATGAATTGGGCACTTTTAGGAATGTTCCGGATCTTTCGATGGGCCAACCCGTAGTTCCCAGAGTCCATATTCTGAACTCAACTCCGAAATTCATTCTGATAAGATCTTTTATGTATCTTTAGTTAGGAGACTTTCAGCCCTGGGCTGGTTCGTCTCCGAAAGTTCTGATAAGATGTCTATGAGTGGTTCCTAAAAAACCACGGAGCTCTAGGATCAGTTTAATGAATTTACCACTTTTATCCAGGGCCCATATTCCGGTCACAACTCCGAATACATTCTGATAAGACGTTTATGAGTGGTTTCAAAAAATCCGCGGAGCTATAGGATCAGTTTCATGAATTGACCACTTTTACGGATATTCCGGATCTTCCACAGGATCAGACTTGTGTCCTACCGGAAACTGAATCATCCCAAAAGGTGGCCATATGAACCGTACTATAGGAATCTTGACTGTACGTTGTTCCGTACACGTCCAAAAATAAGAGAAGAGAAGTTACTGCATTCAGGTTGAAAATGCAGGATAAAATGGGGGGTCCTCTTCATTCATCAATGGTTCAGCAGTATTAGTGATATATAATGATTCCTAGGCGTTTAGATGTGAAGCTTTTCGGACGGGATTGATGAGTACTGCTGAACCTTCAGAATTTTAAGTTCTATTTTCATTTTTATACATATGATTATCAAGGATAATCTTAGATTTAAAATGAAACTGGCTAAGTTTTCAATTTAAGGCATTAAAAATTAGGGTAAAATTCTTTATGTTTGCCTCAAACTACCCAAAAATGATTCTTCGCATGCACAACCACCTAGGCATTTAATTTCAAGTCAGAAAACTTAACTTTTGATGTATATATATCCCATCATATCCACCGGCCTTTTTGAGATATGGAATTAAAAGCCCATTTTTTTTTTGAAAAATAATATCCCATTGTGTAGTATTGGGAATCAAGTAAGAGAAAAACTGTTACCCTTTTTGGAATGGATTTTTGCACAAAATACAACAGCTAATGTGCCAAGAAATATGCAATCAAAAGTACATTACTACAATGCCTCCACTACAGACAATTTCCCCATTCGAGTACACCTTTAGATTGGAAATGGTTGAAACATCAATATTTATCCAGATTCACCTATATTATTCATCGATTTGTGCTCTCCTTTGAAGATACACTCTCTACAGCACTGATATTCGATTCTCTTCTCCTTCCTCACTTTCAGGACGGGAAAGCTGCACTACCCGACCGACGTTTGCGGACCACTGTTTGAGGAGGAGCTAGCCTTCTGGGGCTTAGATTCCAACCAAGTAGAACCGTGCTGCTGGATGACGTACACCCAGGTAAGTTTCGGCCATGAATCAGCCTATTTCGAAAATGTTACAATTTCCATAAAACACACCCGGGCAGGCTCTTCACGCTGAAATTGGTCCCATTGTGGGACTAAAGGTAATCATCCTTCAATTCAACAAGTCTCGTTAGGAAGACCTCGCGTTCATGAATTCACAATTGTAGACACATAAACCATGCTCCATGCTCCACTCGGGATACATAATTTAATAATGGGGAAATTTTCTGGAAAATGCTATTCACAAAATAGGCTTTCAAGGTACACGGTTTTCTTTTCACGTACGCCATGCCACGCCACTATCATCACAGAAGCCAGTAGCAGTTAGAGTCACGTACCGACATGTGCGGTGTGTCACCATTTCGGGGTCTTTATCCCAGCTAACGAGCTAAGAGTCGTAGCAAACATAAAAATGTGTGTATAACAAGCAAATATGTAAATGGGCGAAAACGGCACCTATCCAAATGTTGTTGCCTATTGACATTGGGTGACTTTTTTTTCCTTCATTCGAATGGGGATGTGACGGAGTGGAAAATTGCACAAAAACACGTACAGACGACGGCGCTGATGGACAATGTGGGGGTCCTTTTTTCTCGGAAGATGTTGAATGGTGCTGGCCAGACGATTCGCAAACGAGTATTTAAAGGTGCAATTTTGATGTTGGGAAAAGGATTCAATGGAACTTTCAAATCACACCTCCTTGTACAATGAAATGTAACAAATTCCTGACCCACATTCCAAATTTACTGTGAAATTTTCGGAAATGATTAATGTCCCTTGGCCTTCCATCATCCGCTTAACATGACATCGGTAGACAATTGTATCAAAGCATTTATCTCACTCCCCACCGACGAACGATGTCAAATTCTCTGCAGCTGATGCTTCGCTTTATCTGACCCGTTTCGAATGAATCGTCAGCAAAACTAGCTCGGTCTATTTGCCCAGCTTTGCCATCGTCATCCATTGTCCAACTCGTTCAAGTGCTACTGATACTGCTACTGAGGCTATTTGAATACGGTCACCGTTGTCGTTGTACAGAATGCCTTGTCGTCTGCCTACATGTGAAAACATATGCATTAAAAACCAATTAAAGTGATCCGAGACAACTGCATTAATCCAACATTTACTGTCCTTCTCTATCCACAGCATCGGAATACGCAAGAAACATTGGCTGTTTTAGATAGGCTAGATTTAGATACGGAAAAACCTACCGACGAGGAGGTAGCGAAAAAGTTCGGTTTCGAAGACGCTTACAATAAAGGAAAGGTGAACTGGTGGCAGCATCTGAAGCCGCAGATGTGGTCGCTGTTCGACGAACCGTACAGCTCCAACGCCGCCAAGGTAAGTTATATCGTGTGGTTGGGGTCCAACATCTCCTAATAATACTGTGCTGGATTTCTTTTCAAATATGCGAAAAATATGTCAATATTTTAAAAGTTATTGCATCACCAAAATAGACGTTACACTTCTGAAGTATTTGCAATGAGAAGAAAAGAGTTAAACACCAGCAAACCGACATGAATAACCAAAGTAGATACTAGGAAATTTCTCGTCAATGCTCAGTACTGACATCTGTCCCCATGTTCGAGGAAAACGATTAGCTAATCCACGAACTGCCGTTCTACGCATATCAGTCCCATGTTTCAAAAGTTGCTTCTGAGAAAATCGCGAATAATGTTTCGAATCATTTCTGCTCATTGGAAGAAATATACGTTAAAATAAGTTAGCGCATTGTTCACATTTCAACTGGATCAATATATAAAACTACAGAAACTACCTTCAATGAAATCAGTTAAGCCTATTTTTATACGAACAATATGTAATGGGACTGTTATGCCTAGAAATTTGCACTAAAGTAGGAAATTCTACGCATGTTAGTCCCACTAGGAACTGTTACTGTCAGTGTTGTTTTGATGGCCACGTTGCGTTTGACGTCTTTACTCTTCTGATTACATGAGCGTGCTTGCGTTTTCCGCAGTTTTGGAAGATCCTGGATAGTTTGTATAACTTTCCATCATTAAATTACAACCACAATAAATTTGTTGACACTTCTATAAAACCATTAAAAGTATGGGCATCTCACGAAACTAATGATCAATGCACTATTTAGACCATAAACTTCTTAGCATCTTGTTCTACTCCTTAGAAAGATGAACGTAGGCCTAAAGGAGATTGTCATTTTGAGTCCGATCATAGATTTAAGGCTGATATGCTGTGGACAAAAGATCAATACGTCACACGATCGTTGAACGTGGGCCTCGATGATTTCAAGAAATACACGGATAGAAAACTCCTTATACCTTTTGGCAAATTTCTATTGCTGATTATTCATAAAATGTATAAGTCAACTTATAAGCAGACGCCTTGCAAAAAGTTAATGAAGATCATGTGTCAAATGAAATGTATAAGCGGTCACACATACCTTTTATGCATTCTCATAGGACCTATGTGGTTTGTCTTATGGAATGTATAAGGCTGATGTTTTGGCAAAAATGTATAAGTGAAACACATGAATAAAATAATTGATTTTCTTTTCGTGTAGTTTAGAAGAGTTAACATGCACCAAATTTCTTCCGTACTACGTATTATTAAATTATATAAGGGGCTTTTCATGAAACACGTAGGCACTACCCAATTAACAATTCAGTGACCATCTAGCATCCACTCTGATTTATGATGGTTTTATAACGACAATGAACAATCCAATTAGTTTAAATATAGCATTTCAAAGTGTAAAACATTCCTGCTTAGTAATTCAACTTTTTGCTGTTGTGAAAACCTTTTATAGTCTGGCAAGAAAGTCAAAAACTGTCTTGTTTTAAAAATAAATTTAAAACAGTTATCAATCCCTCCTTAAAACTGTTCTGTAATTCAAGCATAAACGTCATTAGCAATTGTTTATTAATGTCTTGATAAAATACTTTATAAACGTGATCTATCTTTATAAAAGCAACCATAAAACCATTTGGTTTTGCATTAGAGCAAAAAGCATTTATTGTTGCTTTTTAGGTTTTTTAAAGTGCATCATTAACTCCCCAATTACTCTGTTTACAAATTGAGCTTAAAAGCTGGTTCCTCATAATTAATAAATGCCAATTTTATGACAAGGAAATCTCAAAGGATAGACGAAGTAGGATGAAAAATTCAAGTCGTTTTCAGAAAAATTTACTTCTTAAGAAGAACCAGCACATCATCAACGACTAACCATCTGGCGGAGAAGAGTAAACTGAGCGGTGCCATAAAACATTGTCGAAATTAAAAAAAAACATACCAGCCTTCTCCAGATCTTGCGAAATATCAACCGACAGCAAACCACTGAAACTGTTCGTAAGCGGAGATTAGCTAGTTTCCGATCCATAGCCTGATTTTAGAATCAACTCTTCGAAAATTTCATTCAAGCGTACATCCCTGCATCGTTGGATGGTGCACTTCTGTAACCATCCGTAAGAAGGGGAACTTTTTCGGGAACGATTGCACTTCCAGCTGTTCGAAATGCTGAGTAACTGCTCCCAATCCATCGGGAGAAAACCGCCTGGAAGAATCCTGGATCTCACAGCGCAACTATCGAAAGATAAACAAACTTTGACGTTTAACTTTTTGCAGGCAACTTTGCCTCTATAAATGCTGCCATAAATCTGAACGGGTTAGGATCAAGCAAAATGGCTTTAGATAAATACAATTCAGCCTGCAAGTTTTCTTCATAAAAGCCATTTTAAACCCTTATTAATTTGTTAAGGAATTCTTGAAAGCAAAACAACTTTTCACAAATGACCCATGAAAATCAACTTTTATGCCACCGCCATGTTGCAATTAGTTTGCTTGTTTTTACAATCTTCGATTTTCAAGCAATATTTTCTTAGATATAACTATATTTTGGTAAATTTAGCAATGAGCAAACATTAAAATGCGAAAATAATAAAAAAAAGTCTCGGCCAAGCTCGATCTGAAGAATATATATATTTTTTTTAATGTCAAATAATTAGTCAAATCGACGTTTTACGAGGGTGGACTTAATTTTTTCGATGTTTTCACGTACATTTCACATAAAATTTAATATGGCACTTAAAACTAGGCCACTTAATGAGAACTATTGTAATAAATTTGGATATTCAACAAGATTTTTATACCATCAGTTTCTATTTTCATTATTTTTATAAGATTGGATTCATAAATCCTTTTATATCTTGATTGATGCTTTCCTAGTGGAAGATTCAGCATGCGGCTAGGGGAAATAGCTCGGAAAGGGTTTTTATTGTTGCTAAATAGCTTTTATTGTAGCTTTCAAATCGTTATCAATGCGTTCGTCATACAACCTTTTGCAGCAAATCAATCTTGAAGAGCTTTGAGAATACACCCTTCAGAACCTTCTCCAGGGTGGGCCAACTAGACATATTCTAGTCTTAATGAGGTTTTAGTGGATGCATTAATGACAAAATAGCCTTGACCAGGGTTTTATGAATGTTGTTTTATAGTTGCTTTGTAGTATTCCATAAAACTTGAAATGTTACTTGGGTAGAGAGGGTCTATATAATAGTACGTTCAGACTACAGAGTTATAACATGTTATAGCGCTATCTTGATGGTGGTTTCTGTGTTGCAATTATTTGACAACCGTTATAACATGTTATAACTCTACAGTCTGAACAAGGCATAAGAGAGGAGCGGACTAGCTGGTTATAAGCCAAACGAACTGTCAAAGCCAGAGTCAATCAAGCAGCGCCTATCTGGATTGCATTGGCAGTGTTGCAAGAAACTATTGCCAAGGCAGTTTATTTTTAATCCGCTCCTTTTGTATACTAGACCCTCTCTAACAGACACAATAGGGGGAGTGTGGGGAGTGGCAAGTGTCTACTTTAGTGTTTAATATTGCATTGTTTGAAAATAGAAACTGGCGTTTTAATATGAAATCCCGTTTTTCTTAATATTTATCAACATTAAATAAAACTGCCACTTCCTAAAATGGTTCATACTGTTTCTTTTGATTGTATAAATCCTGTTTCAATAATTTGTGTACACAAATCGATTCGTTAATGATAAATTCAGTCGAGAACATCTTTGTGGGACAGTTATGCGTAGAATTTCAACATGGGACAATTAGGCTTTATGTTGTTCTTATACAAACCCAGAACAAACAATATGTTTTTCTATTTTCAGTGCAAATTCTACCTAAAAAAGTACTGTTTTATGAACCAAAGTGAAAAACGCCCAAAAGTAACATGGGACAGATATGCGTAGAACGGCAGCGAACATGTGTGGAAAATTTATGAGCGGGTTCGTGTCTGATGTATTCGGGACAAATTATTTTCATGAATGTGTTTCTATCTAATTTGGAAGGTGATCGGTAATCAACAGATACTGTTTATTTTCATAATAATTATTGAACTTTCCCAATCTTATAAACATAATAAGTAACAATTTATTAACAAAGCTGTTTAAAAAAAAAAAGGATAATACTAAAAGTAATTTAACAGTAATTCCAGTAGTTATACTCGAGGATGTACATTTCGTACTTCTGTTTTCTTCGTCTATTAAATTACCACAATGTGGGGTTGCAAGTTTATTCGGATGCTTTGTTGATTGTTCATTATCTATTGATCACTTGTAATATTTACGTTTGAATATTTTTGGTGAACAAAAAGGAGGACACTTTTCACATTTATATAGTTTTGAAGTAACTGCTAACTCTAGAGGGAATTTATCTCTGTAACTGTAACCAGTTCGTTTGCTAATCTGGTTAAAATGCTATATTCAATTACCATAAAGATAAATCGTCCAGTACAAACCTTTGTAGGTGCGACTCCCATCATCATCATCAAATAACTTTGAGTAAAGGAATTATTTACAATTATATTGATTAAATTTATTTTTTGTAATTTTTAATAAAAAACAGGAACCAGTTTTTGAATATAAATTTTAGTAATGAAATTGGGTTCTTAGCGGAATGCTAAATAAAACAGCAAAAAAGGTTATCTTCCATTTAATTCCACTTAATTAATTTCGGTATCCATGACAGATACGTATTTCGACTACAATGTGCAGTCTTCATCAGTGTCATTCCCACTAAAGAACTTATCAAAATCTAACCCCCTTAAGTACTCATCCCCTAGGTAAAAAAAGTCAAGATCATAGGTATAAAAATGAAACTACAATGTGTTGAATCGGAACCTACCTAACTAATAAAAACCAAAGATTTAAGTAAGCTAAAGGAGAAAAATCTATACAACTCTCTAATAAGGAAAATCCCCAAAGGCTTGGTGGCCATCATAATGAAGTAATGAAATTGGGTTGTTAGCGGAATGCTAAATAAAACAGCAAAAAAGGTTATCTTCCATGAGTACTCAC